TTTGTATCTCGCACTCGGCGACGTCGGCGTTTACATTTTTCCGACACCTCCATGTACATAGATGGAGCCCGCGCGTGCTTGCGTGCGTGCGTGCGTGCACATAATAATATTCTATAATTTTCTGACTTGGCGTTCTTCGTTGTCGCGGGTCGTCTGTAAAGTTGTCGAAGACCGTATACGCCGTCGTTACCCGGTAGAAGATACACTGGGAGAGAGAAAGAGAGAGTGTGAGAGGGAGTGAGAGAGGAGAGAGAGAGAGAGAGAAGAGAGAGAGAGAGAGAGAGAGAGAGAGAGAGAGAGAGATAGAAAGCGAGAGATGGCGAGAGATGAAAATTATATAAAACGCTACAGAAGCCAAACTGTGGCTTTCGTTTCGGGTCAATAATATTATTATGCATGCGACGAATAACGGACGACTATTCCGTGTGTAACTATCATCGCACTGCCGTTAAAAACGACAGTGGTTTTTTTTTTTACCGGTTTTTGTGCGCGCGTGTGTTTTTATGCGCATAATAAATTATTTTGTTCACCCCCACGACCCCGCTGAAAAACTGTCCTGTCGTCTTCATTCCCGGAACGACTACTTCATTATAATATAGTAAGCAGTTCGATCCGACCTCAAAGTCTCGCGATCTATTGCCTTTAATAAACTACAATATTTAATTATTATTAATATAACAATTGTTATTACCATCATGGTAGAATTCCAGCTCTCGACAGAGGATTTGCATTTCGGATACAAGCCTAACAGTAGGCGTAGCACACGATCATATTGCCCTAATAATTTTTACATCCCCTGTGAATATAATATTCCTTGGACCACAAAAAAAAGTTAAGTCGTTGCTCATGAGCAAAATACAAGAGTTAAATTTTGGTTAAAGGAATTTATGATCCCACAGATTAGTTTCATTTCCCGTAAACAGAATTCAAAAATATGTATAGTGTACTGCAGAGTAACATGTATGAACTAAGTCAGCGGCTAGTTACTTAGTTGTAGAGTGTACCCTACTTTTGGGAACACGCGGTTATATGTATAGGTATCCAGCCTGCAGGTGATGGTCAAAATATCCTAGTGTACAAGGCGACTCGTCAAGCACGCTCTACACTGATTTTTTCTTTAATAATATTTATTCAACTGCTTTTTTTGGAAACTTCCAAGGTAAATACTTTAGGACCATATTTTTCAAATATATACACTTTTGCACATATAAAAAGTGTGTCCTCTGGGCGTGGCCACAAACCTTCATTTTTAGTGTTCAAATTATGAAACCCACCTTGATTCACTGCAAACAACAAAGTGGCTGATTTTTAATTCATATGTTCAAACGAAAATAACGGGGGTGCGAGTACGCTCGGGGATTAACCGGTATTGTAATATTATTGGTAGCCTCCGGTAGCTATTTATAACCTAGGATATTATATTATTAATTATATTTACCATCGGAAAAAATCGTCTGTTACACCGGAAAGTGGGGAGGGGGGGAGTCGAGGCACAACTGCACCACTCACTTCGGTCGAGGGGTAGCTCTGGGGATGAACTACCATTATATTATTTACACACGCTATTACGCGTACACGTCTCGCCAAACGATGTTGACACGGTTGGGGGTTTTGGCGCACTTCGGTGGTCACCACCTCTTTCGGCAAATAATTCGGTTGAATCGATACCACGCGAACGCGGTCTACCGATACGACCAACCCGGTATATGGTATAGGTACGCCAGTTTCGGCCGTTGGACGGACTTTTATATAATGATAACGATTACAACCGTCGTTATTATAATATTATAATGGAAAATTATTATAATACCCTAGCGGGTTAATCACGAGCAACGTTCGAGTGAATAATAATTATCCATATTTTCCGGGAAAACTGTTGTCAATAAACGGAGAAATGTATAAACATTAATTATTATTATTATACCTATTTTTAAGTAGAAGTCTCCGGGCGATTTGCATTCCACTTTAACACGTCGGTTCTGTGTAAACAGATGAAAGATATATAAACTGCGAGATGCGGGCTAAAAGGCTAAAAGCTCTCGGCTATGTCGGCCCAAACGTGATGAAATAATAATAATATATTATTATCATCATAGTGTTGCCGCCCGGCCATACTGAGTTCACGGTATTCCTACAAAATAATATTATAATAATAAATTAGTTTTCGATTTCGTCATCTTGTCTATTACACTATAATTGTTAATCGTTATTCACATTTTATTATAGCCGAATTTATTAATTTAGAACACCATTATATTAACATTAATGAAACAATGTAATGATATAAGTATACAACAATAAAAAAACTCTTTAATATTACATTATGTAAAAAGTGTAATATATTAATATTAATATCTTTTAATGTAAATATGTTTTTGGGCTGGATACACGATAAAATATTTCTGACCGATTTTTGGTAAGGTTTTCTTTGTCGTGGTTACTATTATTAACAAAAAAAAATATTTTATGGTTCATTGATTTTTCTATTGTAAACGAGGAATATCGAGAAGAGTGCAATGTGTTTTTGTTTTTTAATTTTGAACATTCTAGATTTAGTACATATTATTATAATATATGCCAATAGGGTACAACAAGACAGTGATGAAATGCATTTATGAACAATCAGCCTAACCATTTTTTTGTATACAACTAAATATCTGATACCTACTCTAGAATAGATATTATTAAAAATTTTGATTTAACTCAAAGTATCGCCGTGTCAACATGATCGATTTCCGACATTATTGTTGATAGGCTTCATAGTTTATATTTGAACAATTTTAATTGAAACTGTTTTTTTTTTTGATATTTTATTTTATTTTTTTTCAATAAAATTTTATAAAGTTCTACTTCCAATAAATAATATACATATTATGTGTTAAAAATAAATTATCATTTCCCTGAATTACTAGGTATATAATGTATAATTATAATCACTGCATTAGAGTACTTCAAATTATTTAATTACATTTTTTTTTAAGTTTGTAGTTTATTATAATATATTTTTAGATTATTATATTTGTATTATTTTAAAATAATTTCACAATTTATTAATTAACTGAATTAGAAAACCAATGATAAATAATGGATTTAAAAATATTTATAATTGTTCTTAATTATTTATAATTGAATTATTATGCAGCTGAAACGTCAATAATTTACTTTAAATTAAAACATTTACAAGGGTGTACACTAGGAAGTAATACAATTGTGTATTAATTATTATTTATTATTTTTTATAATTTTAAGTCGTTCGAATATGAGTGCATAACATATTTTTTACATCAAATTATTTTGTACAATATTATATTCATAAACTGTTTTAAATTGTTTAAAAATCCAATATTCTAAATTTAATATATTCGTCGATTAATTTTAGTTTTGCATAAATACTATTCACCAATTAATAAAAATTAATATTATTATATATTGTGAAATGTTGACAAATTAATTTTGGGTTAATTTTTGTTATTGTTTATTGCGAGCACAACTCAAATTCAGCCATCATATTATAATAAATTAAGAGTGGCTAAAAAGATCCTGGAGTATAATACTATTCTCGATAGCAATTAGCATTATGATAAAGTATTATGTATCGTTATAATTAAAGGTTTAACAGCGACAACGCCTTTTGTACATTTTGCGTTACTTTGTATTAAATTAATACGAGTTTTATAATAATAATAATAATAACATAACAACAACAAATTAAATACGCTATCAGAATTTTTAATTGCACCCAATAGACTACATATTTTTAAGGACGTACAGAAAGTTCGTTTTTGTGTATTTTCCCTTTATATTGTTATTAACTGTCCGACTGTACTACTGTTGGTACAATACCATAGTAGGTATGTTTATCACGTTAATAAATAAAATCTTGTTTCACCAAATAATATAGTATTTTTAATCCTATATCATAGAAATAGTTTTCGTTGTATGTGATAACATTCTTACAGAGGTGATAATATAAACAATTATCCCTGAAAACGTTCTAAACCCAAACCGAACTTGTTTTAAATTTAACTTACTCCGACAAAATCGTAGGTACATCGTGCATACATTGTTTTATTGGAACCCAAAATTAACTAAAAAAATTTAATTGCATATCATCAAAACTAATTCCTGAACACTTTATTATAAAAAAATGTTATTAACTAGAAAAATAGGTATATAATATAATTTCGATAAAATTAAAATAAAAAATATTATGCACAACTAAAATTTTTTTTTTCAATCATTCTTTCCAAATAGAGTATGAATTGTGATTTTTAAACTTAATAATTAGTTGTTTAATCCAGTTAAATTATTTTCAGTTATTTATTTTTTGAACAGTATGTAACATCACTTATTTTTCGCGTATCTATGGACCATAGGAAATCATACTACTCGATACTAATTATGTATATTTAGAATTTATTTAGATGCAATTATTATAATTTTATTTATTTATTATAAAGTATGCATACTGTATTAAGTATTAACCCTTTTATAAGTACATAATATTTATAATGTAGGAAATATAATTCTATTATATAAACACTGTTTGCCTGTCGATAATCCTCGACGTGTATATTGGTGGTTGTTGACTGTGAGGAGTGTGATAAAACATGGTTATTTATTTATTTATATTGAAAAAAATTTCATTTACAAAAAAATGTGTTTAAATATAACAGTTTTAGGTAAAATATGAATTATAAATGTGTGCGTACTGTATGAGAATACATTTGTATATAAAACAAAAAAGTAATAATACAATAATAATAACAATACATAGTAGTATATCATTTTTTGGTAATATTATAAAATCAAATAAAATCATACATTTGTATAATATTATTAATACTTCAATAAAATTGATCTAGACTAGCAGAATTAGATTTACTGGTGAATTTATTGAGTAATTTAAATGTATGTTTTTGAGAAAAACAAACTATTGTCTCTGATGTTATTCGGGTTGATTTTAAAATCTACACCACGTTGGTGGGAATGTGCATAGCATGTATAAGTTTCTTTTGGCAGAATCGAAAATGCGGATGACGGTTTCCACCAGCAGGCGACTGAGTCGTTCCTTGAAGGTGTACCTGTTACATATTACTACAGTGGAGAAAATTACCATCGTCAGTTCCATGGGCCTGGTTGTTGTAACTGTTGAAGTGGCTCTAAGGGAAGGACAAAGTGAAGGAAAAAATATTTTAATTGAAGTAACGGGATAGGCGTTATGTACCTATGAGAACGTGAACAGAAAAATTTAAGATGATTTGTCTTCTATTACATTATGCGCGGTGGTGTAGTGGTGGTGACTTGGACATTTAATTATAACAACAAGATAATAATTATAATAATAATAATAATAATGATATTAAGGCATATTAAACAGAAACAATATTTTATAGCTATAGGTACTACATAAATTATTATGATACCTACACAAACCATTTAAATTCTTGAATTTTCTAATGTTCATTAAATTTTTAATGGGTTCAGTCATATCAGAGATAATTATTTACTGTTTATGCAACCAAACTAAATGCGACCTAACATTTATTATGTTATCGATGATTATTATTCAGCTCAAATATAATATGTTATGACATTCATCCTTTTGGACTTAGGCACACACTCTAAGTATTACAATAATTGGGCTATACATGTCTGTATAACCCTCAGCAAGACTAAAATGTTATTATATCAGCGACAACTACAGTGACTATCAACGTCAGCCTAACTAAGAAGTAAGTGTATGAAACTTCTTATTTGGCCTAAACAAACATTTTCAAAGTTGACAGTGAAAAACATATCAACATCACGTCTTCTACTTAAGTTCGTACAATACCGAAAGAAACCTTTGACACTTGGCAGCTAAGTACTTTTCCCTCGAGCCATAGAACTGTCTTAATATAGTTCAAGACTTTCCAGCGAAATAACCATATTCTTTTAATACCTCTTAAACAAAAACACACTAAGAGATTAATTATTAAAAACAACTTTATTCGCATTTAAAATGAGACTGAGCAACACGCCAACACTGTACAATGTGTACTCGAGTGAAATTAGTCCCCCTTATTCTTCGTTAAAAATCGTCTTGGATACGCGTTAATTCATGATCTACTTAAGAAGAAAAAAAACCCTACCTAAACATTATACGTACTGTTTAAGTTAGTGTAAACACGTTGGTAATATTATATTACATTAAAAGAGTTTGATATTTTATTCGTTACAATATTATATCGGTGCTTATATATTATGGGCCTATCATGATATGAACCTAACATCGTATGGCTGTAGTTTTTACGAATCCGACGAGTAGATTACCTATAACGTACAATAGATGTTATGCCTTTACCTACTGTGGGGCTTGAACGTGGTGAATAATATTATGTAAACGATATTCGTTCAATAAATCATTGAATGCTGTTAAAACAATATAGTAATATATAAGGTCGGTGCTACCTGTATAATATTGTAATACTTTAGAGTTTAGGTGATGAAAATTGAACGCAACGTGAAAATTATGATTTATATGTTATGATATAATAATATTATATACGAAACGCTTAAAGTTGCGTGGACGATAAGGGTCGACGGCGGGGCATTAACGTGAATCCCGGTCAAAACTTCTGGTGACAACCATCAAAGTCGAGTTTAATAATGATTTATACGTATCCAAGACCGACCGTCCTTGTCGGATTATCGGACACCTCGTGGAAAGGACGCTTGCACTGCAGTCATCAGTCGACCACCGTTGAGCATCATACTGCTTCCATGTACACCATAAGTTGGGGGCCTCCACAGTGGTGGTTAAGTACTCGACCGTGGTCGAATAAGTATAGGCATCGACAAGTGTATAAAACGCGTACGTCCAGTGCGCGAACAAGTGCTGGTTTACACTGGTAACCTGTGGTTGACGTGTCCGATTCCGTCGGCCGCTGTTACAATAATATATTTGTTTGAAATCACGACGACGCACGTGCTGTCTACTGGTTCGAAGTCATATTCGCGAGATCTGAGCCCAACCTAACCTAACCCGTTTGTAGCGATCGACGTGTTCAAAGGGTCGATATAAGACGTCTTGTCGCGATATTATATTAAAGAAATCCAACCAGAGTTCCAGTCTACGTGTCGTGTGAATATGTGATATTATAGTAACCGATTTGTTTTCACCGAATATCCGCCTCACAAATCTGAGCACACTTCTATGCACACACGTCGACCACGACGATAACGACGGGACTGGGAAATGTCTGGGTAGACCGTATAGCATACCGCTGGTAGTTACTCGACGTGTGAACAGTAAACACGCTTTTAGCTGTGGGAAAATCACAATCGATACCGTGGACAAAATTAAACGCGTCAGGGACACAACGTGCGGGTGGGTTTTCCTGAAAAGCGGTGTCGAGTGTTTCAAGCGTCTGTTTAGCGTCGCCATCACCAGCTGCGGTGGCCGTCTCACTTTTTGTTTATAATATTTATCCTTAAACGGGTCTTTCATACACACACACACACACACACATACTATATAATATTTAAAAAAAAACCGTTAAATCCCATACAACTCCGGTCGTGTAAGCGTTATACTATTACTGCACCATCAGATTTGGCGCACACGCCCCGCGAATATCTCGTTTCGACGCTCGGCCGTTTGTGCGCACTTCTGAACAGTATGACATATAACATTTTATTATGGTAGACGCGTCGCCTACTGTGTATGCACACATCAAAGGTGATTCGACGGGAAAACAAAGTGTAAAAATAATGATTTTCCCTTAGAGCGCCTATAGTCGATGTGAGCGCAAGTATGTTATTTTCATTTTTTTTTCATTCCCTATACCAACACTCTGTCGTTGTCCCGTCCTTTGCGGCGGTAAAACTAATTCTCCAGTCCTCGGCGAGGCTCGTCGGCGTACTATATAATAAACCGTCGTGTTTGCCCAAAAGATGTATCCGACCGAGAACGCGAGCAATAACGATAAAGGTGGGTGTGTGGGTGCGTGTTTGTGTGTGGAAGTGTGTGCCGTTGGCGGCGTGGCAAAGGTTAGGGTGACCGGGAAGGGCGCACGACGGTGTCGAGAGAGGATTTTACAAACGCTCGTCTACATGGTGTTGTGTATTATATAAATGCTGTAGCGAGGGTATACGACTCATACAATGTACTGTATTATATATATATATATATATATGGCTGAAAAGAGGATTTTCGTATATTATGTATATAGTATGGTCCTTTTGAAAGACGTCTGCTAGCGCACTGCGCAGTATAGTCTCCGTATATATGTAGCCGCTTAAAAATCGAACCAAAGCAAGTGTATTTATGTACGACGTACACATAGTGGCGCCATATTGCGTGTAGGTATATTGAAATTTGGCAACTCACTGTACAAACTTAACTCCCTCGTTGTTTACGTAAATTTGAAAATATTTTAATAACGAAATTTTTATTAAAGACGTAACAACAATAGTACAGCTTATTATATTTATGAGATGAACGGATGTCTAAGATTTTCATGTGATATCGGTGGCTTACAGTAGGTCGATAAAACCACTATGAATGCTGGCGAGAGAAGGGATAACTCTAAACGAGGATGGTGGTGGAGGGGGGGGAGCAGTCATACTAAAAATGTTTGAGTCTCGTCGTTTTTCATCTGTGTCGTATTTCACTTGACGTTTTATTCGAGTATTATCGTTATGATTTTTTTTACTCAAACCGAATCCTCCAGAATATTGTTTAAATGGTTCTATTTAAATCGAGTAGAACCCGTGCACTTCGTTGCCCCTTATATGTACCAACTCTATATGACTCAAACTTTGTTCAATTCGTTATTTAATATTCGGTGTATGGTGTTTAAAATTAATCTTAACTTTTCCGTTGCCCGGAATAAAAATTCTGATTAGCAGCAGTATATTATCAGGTTTGTAATCTAGTTAGAATATATAATATATAATATATTGACAAAAAATAATAATACAAATCAACAAAGGTGCCCGTAACCAATAGCAAGCAATATACAATACACTATTATTATTTTATTATTAATATTATTATTTATTATTTATTGTGCACTTAAGACGCCATAAATTACCGCACAGCGTACAAACTTCACAAAAACCATCTACATACCAATTTTAATAAGCCCTGAATTTTTTATCGAAATCAGTTTTGTAGATCTTGAGTTATAAAATGTATTCAAAATGTACACTTATTTTATATAATATATAGATATATAAAGCTAAAGAGTGTTGTGTGTTTAAAGGCGATAATCTCAGGAACTACTGGTTTGAATTGAAACATTTTTTTTGAGTTAGATATTCCATTTGTCGATGAAGGCTATAGAGGCTATATAACATCACGCTACTACCAATTATAGAAGTGGTCAACAGGTATTTTGAGATTTACGATGGAAATATTTGTTCATAAATGGTTGCTATTGGTTATAGGAGAAATAATTAACAGAAATAGTATTTATTTATTATTTTTATTATTTTATCATTTTCTTTTCGGTCGCCGAGCTCGAAAAGTGTAACTTGAATTAATACCATACAAATAAAAATTATAATTATATGATACATATAGCTACGCTATGCAGTAGCTTTATCGATGCAGTCAACGAGTGTCTCATTTGACATTTTTTATTTATTATAGCCTGTAAGTTAAATTGATATTATAATATTATAATTTTTTATTCATTTCTATGGTGATAGACAAAGAGTTAGAAATTAAAATCCCATTTTTAGCGGTTTTCGTAATTTGTGGGTTGTTTTTCCCGTGACATTAAATAATTATTGAGAAAATCGAAAAATGACCTCTTTAAAGTACCATCTTGATCCAGTTTGCTAAAAGAAAATACTATATGTTGAAATCTAGTAGCAATTTTGTATACAGGATAAAAAAAAAATTAATACCATTGTTAAACCACTAGGTTCTTCACTCCGCTCAGAATCTAAAATTAGAAAAATATAGATTAAATCTAGTTTAATAACAATAAAAGAACTGTAAAATATGCAGCAAAAACCAAATTTTCACTTTCAAAGGTCATAATTTGCACTACATAAAACTATAATATGAAATATTATTCTATTATATACTGACTATGAGAAGGACTGGGAAGAAGGATCTATTAATCTAAATAAGTCTAATAGATCTATAATTGTATACATAAATAACTATTAAATCTTACACAAAAAAGATTTCTTATCGAACCACATTGACTGCGATGCC